TACTTTTTATAATAAATAAAATAACTTTGTTATAGCTACTAAACTGTAGACGTTGGCTTTTAAGCTCTCATGTCTATTTGAATTTAGTAGACTGTAGATTTTGAAAATGGGTTCATCCCCTGGAAAATGTGCTATAAATGTACTTCAAGAAGCTATGTCTTATTGCTGAGATGTCAAAAACATTTATCTTTATACATTATCTTTAATAAAAAATAAAACAAAAAAATAAGATAAAAACAGAGAAGGAAGCAAACCATAAGAGACTCTTAAATATAGAGAACAAAATGAGAGTTGCTGGAGGGGGGGTGGGTGGTGGAGGGATGGACTAAATGGGTGATGGGCATTAAAGAGGGCACTTGTTAGGATGAGCACTTAGTATGGTATGTGGGTGATGAATCACTGCATTCTGCTCCTGAAACCAGTGCTGCACTGTATATTAACTAACTTGAAATTAAATTAAAATATATATGTACAAACATTTATGTATATATATATGTTATCTTTATATACACATTTCAGCATATTTTATATACTGGACTAATAATTAAAATAACAGTGTCTAATGATCATACTGAGAACCTTTCAAGTAGTTTTAAAAATATTACCCATGTGGAAGAGAGCCAGAAAATATATATTAGCTCAAATTTACTCATCAGCCTCCTCCCTTCCCTCCCTTCGTCTCTCTTCTTTTCTATAGCTGGCAATATTGCCAGGATAAGACTATCTATCTATCACCAAAATTACCATTTTAATTCGATAGAAAATAATTTAAATTATCATCTAACTGAATCTACCATTTAGTTCGGTATGAGTGAATCCAGGCCCCAGTATAAAATATTCCATAGTCAGTTTAGTGGGGGCGGGGGAGTGGTGTGAGAGAAAGAGAGAAAAAGAGAAAAAAAGAGGCAGATTGAGTGCATAATGTTTTGCATTTCTTTTATAATGTTTACATTAAGCCTACTGTCTAATTTCTATTTTTTGAAACTCAGTGATTATTTTATTGTTACACTTTTAAAAGAATGCAATTTTGAAAAAGAAAAGCAGAGCTGGAGGCATCACCATTCTGGACTTCAAATTATATTACAAAGCTGTAGTGATCAAGGCAGTATGGGACTGGCACAAAAACAGACACATAGATCAATGGAACAGAATAGAAAAACCCAGAAGTGGGCCCACAACATAATGGTCAACTAATCTTTGACAAAGCGGGAAAGAATAGCCAATGGAAAAAAGAGAGTCTCTTCAACAAATGGTATTGGGAAAATTAGACAGCCACATACAGAAGAATGAAACTGGACCACTTTCTTTACATCATGCACAAAAATAAATTCAAAATAGATGAAAGACCTAAATGTAAGACAGGAAACCACCAAAATCATAGAGGAGAACCCAGGCAGCAACCTCTTTGACATCAGCCATAGCAACTTCTTACTAGACACTATGTCTCCGGAGGCAAGGGAAACAAAAGCAAAAATGAGCTATTGGGACTTCATCAAGATAAAAAGCTTCTGCACAGCGAAGGAAACAATCAACAAAACTAAAAGGCAACCTTCAGAATGGGAGAAGGTATTTGCAAATGACATATCTGCTAAAGGGTTAATATCCAAAATCTATAAAGAACTTATCAAACTCAACACCCAAAAAACAAATAATCCAGGGTGCCTGGGTGGCTCAGTTGGTTAAGCGACTGCCTTTGGCTCAGGTCATGATCCTGGAGTCCCGGGATCGAGTCCCGCATCGGGCTCCCTGCTCAGCGGGGAGTCTGCTTCTCCCTCTGACCCTCTTCTCTCTCGTGCTCTCTATCTCTCATTCTCTCTCTCTCAAATAAATAAAATAAAATAAAAAAATCTTTAATAAAAAAAATAATCCAGTTAGGAAATGGGCAGAAGACATGAATAGACATTTTTCCAAAGAAGACATCCAAATGACCATCAGACACATGAAAAGGTGCTCCACATCACTCGGCATCAGGGAAATACAAATCAAAACCACAGTGAAATACCAACCCACACCTGTCAGAATGGCTAAAATTAACAACACAGGAAACAACAGATGTTGGTGAGGATGTGGAGAAAAAGGAACCTTCCTGCACTGTTGTTGGGAATGCAAGCTGGTGCAGCCACTCTGGAAAACGGTATGGAGGTTCCTCACAAAGTTAAAAATAAAACTAACCTATGATCCAGGAATTACTCTACCAAGTATTTACCCAAAGGATACAAAAATACTGATTTGAAGGGACACGTGCACCCTGATGTTTATAGCAGCATTATCAACAATAGCCAAATTGTGGAAAGTGCCCAAATGTCCATCAACTGATGAAGATGTGGTCTCTATATACAATGGAGTATTACTCATCCATAAGAAAGAATGAAACCTTGCCATTTGCAACATCGTGGATGAAGCTAGAGAGTATTATGCTATGCAAAATAAGTCAGTCAGCGAAAGACAAATATCATATGATTTTACTCATGTGGAATTTAAGAAATGAAACAGAGGAACATAGGGGGGAAAAAGAGGGAAAAAAAGAGAGGCAAACCATAAAACAGACTTTTAACTATAGAGAACAAACTGAAGGTTGATGGAGGGGAGGTGGATGGGGGGATGGGCTAAATGGGTGATGGACATTAAGGAAGGCACTTGTGATGAGCACTGGGTGCTATATGTAAGTGATGAATCACTAAATTCTACTCCTGAAACTAATATTACACTATATGTTAACTAAGTGGAATTTAAAAAAAGCTTGAAACTATATATATATATATGGCTGTATGAATGAATGAAGCTCTTCCCAATAAGGTCAGCTGGGAGGAAGTGGAGAACAGAAATTAATAAAAATGTGCCTTGTTTCAAATCCTTAATGTGTATATTACCCACAGAAATTTCTCAGAAACTGAATGGTGTATTTCTTTATATCAAGCTGGGAGGGAGGGCCTTGCTCAAAGTATCCCTTGATACTAACTTACTTTCTGGGACTCATCACAGAAACTTCTTATGAGTCTTTTTAGAAAAGATATCGAAATTACAAATTTACGGCATAACTTCAGAAGTGTTAACTTTACACAGAGGGCTGGAAGAGAAATTCATATTGCTGTAAATATTTTAGAAGTATTTGGGGAGCATGTTGACATTTGTCAGATGTAAGAGTGGCCCAGACTGGTTAGATTATGCACCCATGTAGTTGTTGCTTCAAATAAAGGGAAAAAGAAGAAGTACTGTCTAATTGGGATGTGACAAGTTGTTAACACATGGTCTGACTGGAAGAAGCAATCCAAAGAGTATTTACTACCTCTTGGGAATTTACTGCCTCAAGAGAGTAACTCTGCATGATTCCTTTCTTTATTCTTTGTAAAGATCGTGGAAATCATTATGGAATTAAATTTTAGTGCCTCTTTGTAACCTTTGATGTTTTATGATGCACATAAACTTTTAAGCTTGCTTTAAACATTTGAAAATCATCCAGAGGTTCAGAAAGACATCCTGGTACATGGAGGTGGTGAAATCTAACGGGTGTTTAATCTTTTTTTTAGTCCTTTCAATGTCTTTGAATTAGGTATCATTTCTATTTTCCAAAGAAACTGAGTTTCAAAGGGGTTTAAATTATTTGTGTGGTAATTGGCAAAGTCAGCATCTGAGCCCAGATCTCTGATTTCAAGGCTGGGATTATTGATTGTTCCTCAAGAGCTGGATCTTTGGATCTTTCTAAAAAGAGGCAGGAATGTGCACATGTGAGCTGACTTGAGTAACTTCATTTGTTGTCTCCAGCACGTTAAACACTCCATTACAGTCATTAAAGTCTTACCACTTTAAGCAATAATTTATTTAGTTATTAGATGGTTTTTTTTTTTTTGAGGGATCAGAGACATATCTAGCTAAAAAGGTCACAAGTGAGATGAAACTTGAAATAGTTCTAGAAGTGCTCGTGCCTGAAATGCTACCTGCTTCTGGGACATATGACTCATTAGCATGAAAAGTTTTTAAGATTTCTTTTTCAATTGATAAGACAGAACAGTGCCTAACAGTGCTGGGGAATGAGGAAGAAAGAAGTGTTTGAAAATGGACAGATGTGGGGTGTCTGGGTGGCTTAGTTGGTTAAGCATCCGACTCTTGATTTCAGGGTTGTGAGATCGAGCCCAGGGTCGGACATGGACCGTGCTTAGGATTCTCTCTCTCTCACCCTCTCCCTCTGCCCCTCCACATGCCCCCTAGGCTCTCTCTTTCTCTCTCTCTAAAATAAATAAATAAACTCTTTAAAAAAAAAAAAAAAGAAAAGAAAATGGACAGATGTGCCCTGTTTCTTATTTGAGTTAAAGACTGACCTCAATGAATTTTTAAAATTTCACAGAAGAGTTTATCACTGATAGACCATAGATAATTCAAATGCTCTAAGACTGGCCCACACTTCCCATTTATGAGTAAATACAACCCTTATCCTTATTTACATGGAATCTGGAGATTTAATGTCCTAGACTCTGAGCCCAGATATTTGAAAAAAGTTTAGATATGAATCTCAACAAGGTAGCCAGATGCAAATTTCTGCAGGGCCCTTACTGTATTGCACAAGGGAGATAGATCACAATCCAGATATAAGCACACACAAAATTTAAGGTAGTAAATCAAGTCTGCAGATAATTACTTAGCTGGCAACACAATGCAATAGAAAGGGCCTGTTGGGGGGGGTGCGGGGGGAGGGGGGGAGAAAAAGAAACCCTATGTCTGACACTGGTTGGGCCACAAATTGCAGCTGAATTTCTGGCAAGTTATTTAACTTCTATGAATCCATTTCTGCATGGATACAATGAGAGCATTGAATTACGCCCATTCTAGCCTTAATATGGTGAGTTGGCATTCATCCATATCTTAGGTAGTCTTCCTCGGAAACTTAACAGGACACGCAAGAAATGACGTGTACTGTCTTAGTGATAACCTCTCCAAATTGATTGGGATCTTTTGTTTAAGAACGCAAGGAAAATCTTTTAACGATTTTTCTTGCTCCTTTCTAGGATTATCTGGGAGCTTGCATTGTCCTCACTGCGTCTATTGCATCCATCAGCGGCTCTTCCAATTCTGGATTGGTGGGTTTGGGTCTTCTGTACGCACTTACGGTAGGTATGGATGAAAACATCACTTTTCATGTAGTGTTGGAGGTACTTTCTATAGTTATTATCAATTCCTATTCATGGATATAAGAGGAGCAGGTTAAAATTCATAACAAAATGACATCTTGCAAATAAAAGGAGATTGGGGCCCAAACCCAGCATTTTAGGGCAGTGTGGATTCAGTTCTGATACTGCAAATTGGTTTTTAGAAACTCCCCAAAATCTATGGCGAGAGCACTCCCAAGGCTGTTTGAGATCCCTGTCCCTAAGTTGTTCACAGCCTATTTGGGGACACTAAAGTGAATATGAATATAAATGAGATAAGTGCAATCAGAGCTATATTCAACTTGTGCAGGGAAATCAGAGGACAGTTTATGAATCACTGACATGTGAGGACTCTTGAAGAAGAGTGGACACCTCCTTTGCCTGCTTTATCCCACGACACCCTCCCTGGTCTCTGATATCTTGCAGCACTTACAAATTGTGCCACATGATGTACACTAACTGTCCAAGTCATCCTATCCTAAAATACCCAGTGATTAGAAAGATCGTTACTTCATTTTAAATGTGTTAATTTCTTTTTGTCACCTGACACAGATAACCAATTATTTGAACTGGGTTGTGAGGAACTTGGCTGATCTGGAGGTCCAGATGGGGGCAGTGAAGAAAGTGAACAGTTTCTTGACTATGGAATCTGAGAACTATGAAGGCACTATGGGTATTGCTCTGAATATTATTTTGTTTCACTTAAATATTTATTTTATACAAATACTAGTTTTGTGTCAGACACATTGTCATTTTTGTTTTTGTTTTCCACTTTAATATCCAAGAATCCCTTCTTGTCTTGGCTTTGCTTTATGAGATACACCTGAAACGATATGGCTATTTAGGTCTGAAAAGTTTGGGATAGGACCAGACTCCAAACAGATGTTATGTAGTAATATTTAAAGAGAACTATAAAAAGTATTTGGACTTTATTACATTCATTACCAACCTACACTATGAACTATTTATTGTGTTCTCTTTCTCAAGATCGTATTAACTTAGATGTCAAGAAACTTGGATCTTATTCACTGAGATTCTCAGCTTTGCTAGAATAAAATTGGCAGGAAATTCAATACTGAAGATGGAATGATCTTTCTTAAATTCAAATTTCACGCTTAAAATGAATTATTTTGCCTAAATCCTTCAATAACTATCTGAGTCTTCAAGGACAAGATCCAGATAAGTTAGCTAAGACCACTAGACTCTTCATTAGTCGATCCTTGCCCACCTACCTGGTCTCATCTCTCATCATCTATCCAACATGCCAAGGTTTCTTTTTATCTTTGTTCTTTCCATATATATTTGAAACAAATCTCCCCATCCCTAATCCTTGAAGACTCATCTCAGGCACCATCTTTTCTTGAAATCCTCCTGGAACTCTCAGGTTACCACCATCTGTGCTCCCAGAGCACCTTGGGTTGTACTCCATCATGTGACTCTGCATGCAGTACTGTAGATCCTGATGCTTCCCCAGGACACAGGGAGCACTTTGTGATATGTCTCATCTCCATATTCCCATCACCTTGCACAACACCTCTCACATTTTAAGCACTCAAATGTTTGATGACTGACTGACTGAACAAATGAATGAATTCGCAGATGAACTATCTTCAGTAGAACCAAATGATGGAATACAGAAAAGACATGATAGTTCATGCTTCAAAAAGAAACACATACAAAAGCTATTTTGAAATTTCTTAATCAATAGGCCTTTACTCTGAAGGTAATTTTAACTTTAAAAAGACACAGAATTTGGTTCAGTATTACTTAAAATTTATTTTAAAAAAGTATATGTTTGTATGTATAAGTGTATATAAGTATGTGTATGTTTCTTCCTGCCCCTCTCTCCTTCCCTCTCTCTCTCCCCCTCCCCTTCTCCCTCTGACTTCCCCTACTCCACCCTCACTCCCCAGACCCTTCTCAAGTTCCAGAACATTGGCCACAGGAAGGAGAGATCAGGATTCATGACCTGTGTGTCAGATATGAAAATAATCTGAAACCTGTTCTTAAGCATGTCAAGGCATACATCAAACCAGGGCAAAAGGTATGGAATTCACTGCCATTTGTTTCATACAAATCAGAGGATGGAGCCACTTGATCACTATCTAAGCTCTTGAGACATTCAGCCAAGTGCATTTTCACTGGGCTCACATAATACTCCCTATACTTTATAGGTCAAATTATCTACTTAAGAGAGAAAAGAGAGAGAGAGGATCAGGATAAAATACATGCTCTCTAAGTTGTATTGACATTCATTATTCTCCCAGGAAGATCAGGAAAATCAACAATTTGTGTGTTTGTCCAAATTTCTGGCTCCTGGCTCACAGCCATATCAGACAGCCCCTTGAGGACTTTTGCATTTGTACTAGCTTTAGTCCCAAAATGATTTGCTTTAGCTACTTTAAAAAGAGAAAATGTGCAGAAAAGAATTGGAGCCAGTCTACTTTTTGTTATAAAATCATCACTTCTAAGATAAAACGGAATACTTACTTATTAGACCAACAATATACTAAATGCAAAAATTAAGCCACGAAGGAAAAACAACACAGCCACATACAAATAAAAAGAGTTAGAATGAAATCATTGAAGATTTGGTGAGGACTCTGTGTTTTTATCTTAATGTTCATAATAAAAGAATGATGATTTATTATGCTTTTTAAATAGAGGTGCAGTTCCCTATGGTATCTTGTCGAAATTAAAAATACTTATTGCCCATCTTCTGCCTTTTTTCTGAGTCCTTTTCTGTCTGAGTGACATTTGCTTTTTAGGTGGGCATATGTGGTCGCACTGGTAGCGGGAAGTCATCATTATCACTGGCTTTCTTCAGAATGGTGGATATATTTGATGGTAAGTTACTAACTAAATGTTCTCATTGGCTATGTGGTGCTTTTCCTTAAAAAAAGTGAGGCATCAACTTACCTAATCCTGCAGAAATAAAGAGCAAATATTTATAAGGACTTTGTGTCCTGAGACCCATGATTTGAGGCAGGTGTCCCAGGTCAACAGTCTAGAAGTAAAGAATGAACATAAAATTGCTAATAAAATTATTAGCTCTAAACTCAGCTCTAGAGATTGTTGTTAAAGAATCCTAATAAACTGGTAAAATGAAAACAAAGCCACCCATTTTGAACAGCAGTAGATGTAGGTGGCATTTCAAGAGGAAGGGAGAGAAAGGAAGGCTGTCTTGCTTTGCTCAAACTAAAAACACATCCATTTCCATCAAAGGAAAAAAATGCAAGGAGATAAGTAATATGCATTATTAATTTTGGTGCATGACTCTTACCTTTATAACATGGTTTAATGATGCTGAACATTTTGTGGGGTGGCAACTTGCTAAGTGCCAAGCACATGTTGACAATATACAAAAATATTTATTCATCCACAAAACTATTAATAACATGATACATGGAAATAATTTAATCTTTGATTTAGAGAAAATGTGTCACATTATTTAGTCTATCAAGTGGCCCATAAATAGCCCAGCACATAAACCATCTTGAATAAAAGATCCAGCAGTGTGCTTGATCATCAGCTCAAGGAAGCGCTTCCTATTATTATCTGAAATGATTGCGATGATGATTATAGTACTTCACATTTTTATTGTACTTAACAGTTTATATTACTTAATCTACACAACAGCTCTGTGAGATGAAGAGGTCAGTTTATGAACAGAGATGAACTACAGTAATTGCAGTCTCCTTGGGGGTTAGATTCAGGAGCAGTGTAGGTAGGCATCAGCTGCTGGGTTAGCAGTTTACTCTTCCATGGCTAGTAATAATAAATAATACACAGATATTTTAAGGAATTTCAGTAGATTTTCATTATAAGTCAGTTACATGATCCAAAGACAATTGATTGACACTTTTCATTAAAAAAAACCCAAAAAACGGTGGTTATAACTGAACATATTAGATTAGCCTGTTCCTTATGAATCCAGAAACATGTTTTCAGGCCCCATGTGGACTATAAATGACTGATTCTCTTGTTTAGCATTAGGCTATTAAGATTTTAATAGATAATGTGTTATTCCTGAAAGAAAGGTTAAGCTTTCTTTGCTTAAACCTTGCCTCCTCTTGAATCTACATCTAGCTGGAAAAGGGACTCCAACTGCCATTCTTTGCTTGGCCTGCTCATTTCATATGGCAGTACTGTCTTTGCACAAAGTGACATAATCTATCTTAAAATAATCTATCAATTTGAGGTCAAAGATATCAAGATGGCACAAGACTCTAATAAGTCTAAATACGGTATGGAGAAATTCATTAAAATTTGATATCTATGCCATAGAATTTCCTTTCTTATTTACAAGGCACTGTCCTGTTAAATCAATAAAAGAGTGAATAACTTAGACAAAATCACTGTCTTCAAGGAGTTTATATTCTAGTTGGGAGAGAGAGACAATAAAAAAAGATAAGTACATGTATATAGAATATCTTGTGAAGGAAAATAAAGCAGGGAACAAGGATAAAGGAATATTGGAAGGGAGAGGACCCATTAAGGAGAAAAAGTACTTTTGGTTTGTATGAACCATGGAAACTGAATAAAAACTGAGAATCTCTTTAAGAGAAAATACATGGGAAAGAGAACATACCACCAAAATGTATATTTTTCATAAAAATGCATAATGATGCTTTTAATACTTAAATGGAAAGCTTTATCTTCTGATAAACCCTAAACTAGGAAGGTACTTTCAATTTGTAAACAAATATTATTTTACTTTTGATTTTACTAAATGCCTGCAATTTTTTGTTTCTGTTTAACAGGAAAGATTGTCATTGACGGGATAGACATTTCAAAACTACCACTGCACACACTACGTTCTAGACTTTCAATCATTTTGCAGGATCCAATACTATTCAGTGGTTCTATTAGGTAGGTGATGTATTCAATAGAAACCCGAATGTCTCAGGATTTACCTTTTGGCTTATAGGAGGGTTTTACTCAGAACTGTTTTTCAGGTAGGTGTGAATGACATTTTCAGGATGATAAGAAGGAATATTCTGGTCAACAATGCTGGTCAACCCTAGAGTTGCTAAATTAACCTACAGAGGCCGGTCCTTTTATTTATTCCAGTTCTGCTCTTTCAGTTTGACTCCATAAAAGTCACTTCTTCCTCAGTACTTGGGGCAGTCATTCTTTTTTTTTTTTTTTAGATTTTATTTATTTATTTGACAGAGAGAGACACAGCGAGAGAGGGAACACAAGCAGAGGATGTGGGAGAGGGAGAGAGAGAAGCAGACTCCCCACTGAGCTGGGAGTCTGATGTGGGTCTCTATCCCAGGACCCTGGGATCATGACCTGAGCCTAGGGCAGATGCTTAACGACTGAGCCACTGAGGTGCCCCTGGGGCAATGATTCTTGGCAGACATTCTAAGGTGTTCTACCCTACAGATATCCTGCCTATCACTATGTGTCTGGCTTGGGCTCAGCAGATACTGAGTTTGGTTAATCCCTTGATTCCCCCATCCCTCATAATTTTTCTTTCAGCCAAAATTGCTTTTAAGAAGCTCCTACAATCTTCTCCATGCCTGGTTTATGGTTTCCCACAGTAAAATTAAAAAAAAAAAGCAGTATCTACTATCTGCTAAGTGCTTTAAGTATATTGTCTCATTAAATCCTCAAAGCACTGGGCGCCTGGGTGGCTCAGATGGTTAAACGTCTGCCTTCAGCTCAGGTCATGATCCCAGGGTCCTGGGATCGAGTCCCGCATCGGGCTCCCTGCTCCTTGGGAGCCTGCTTCTCTCTCTGCCTCTCTCTCTCTCTCTTTCATGAATAAATAAATAAAATCTTTAAAAAAATAAATAAATCCTTAAAGCACTGCTCTAGTATAAATATTATTATCCTCATTTTACAGATGAGCATTTTGAAACTCAGAGAAGCTCTAACTGGTTCAAGTTCATACACTTAGTAAGTGGTAGAGTTTGTCTGACTCCCAAAGTCCACCATGGCATTAACCACCAGGTCATGTCTCTCAATGCATCCATCTTTTGTTCTCTCTTGCTCCACTCCTCTACCTTAATTACAAAGAAATATTGCCACCTCCTTTTGTCTTGAAGAGAAAATGGACGTAAGATTGCTCAATATTCAGCCGTAAAATCATTTTAATTGAAAGTTGCAGATGTATCCAGTTATTTAGCAATGCCATAGTGAATTGACATGTCCTGATAGATTTATTATGAATACTACTATTGTGGTTGGTGCAGGACGGCTCATCTAAGAGCATTACGTGTTCCCATATAATCATCAGTTCTGTAAAAACACTTTGCTAGACACTATTCGAGTTACATTAAATATAATATCAAAGTGGATAAATCCACATAATGAATTTTATCATGTCATATCTTGCATGTAAACTTACTAATTGTCTCTTCAGAAAACATTTTTCATAACATTAAGGTCATTCATTTATTCATCCAACATGAATTGAATGCCTGCTCTATCCTGAGCACTGTTTTAGGTATTAGGGATATAGCAATAACCAAAACAAATGGAACTTATATTTTAAGGAAAGAATAGCAATAAGCAAACATATGTAAAAATGCCTTTATTTTTATTTATTGACTAAATAACTTATTTTTTCCCCCTACAGATTTAATTTAGATCCAGAGTGTAAATGCACAGACGACAGACTCTGGGAAGCTCTAGAAATTGCTCAGCTGAAGAATATGGTCAAATCCCTACCAGGAGGTCTAGGTATATTTTCTAGAGAATACACTTATTTTTACATATGCAATTAATTCTATATATCTCTATATTTTATGCTAAAATCACATCATTCATGTTAAGTCCCCTTAAACTTAGAATAATCTCCAAAAGGTCATTAGGATACTTCAAAATCTAATGTTTTTGCATAGGATGCCAGAGGATGAAACTTATAACAAATTCTGTTCTATATGAACACTCCAAAATATTCCAGTTAATACATTTAACTCTTCAGTCTTTTCACCTTTAGTGGTACAGTTATTTTATTTTATTTTATTTTATTTTATTTTTTATTTTATTAGAGAAAGGGCGCAAGAGGGTGAGTGGGGGAGGAGGGGCAGGGGGAGAGAGAGAATCTCAAGCAGGCTCGATCTCATGACCCTGAGATCATGACCTGAGCTGAAATCAAGAGTTGGATGCTTAACTGACTAAGCCACCCAGGCGCGCAAGTGGTACAGGTCATTTGAATCAGAATATTTCCTTGTGGTCATTCTACTCATGTGACTGACATGACCCCTGACTCCCAGTAAATGGTTAGGAGGATTGAAGAGGCTACTAGGTTCAGAGTAGTCGGTACCATGTAGGAGCAGGCAGTTTCTCCACATTGGCAGCCATTTTCTTTGTTGCCAGAAGGGCCTATTCCTTATATTTATGTGACATAATTTTGTGAAGACATTTTCTATGACCTTGCTGCAACCTCAGTTTTAGCCACCTGCGTAAGAGATAAAACATGTACTCAAACAATCAGATATACATTTAGTCCCAGAGGTAGACAATTTCTGGCAAATAACTGATGACAGAATAAAACAACAACATGAATAATTAAAGAACATGATTAACAAAACAAAACAATAGAAAGTACACAATGCAGTCTTTAATTCATAAAAATGATGAATATCTATAATTTTGGACTTTTGCTCCTTGGTAAGGAAAATCTGTGTCCTAAGATGGCTGACAGAGCCAGCGAGAGAGTCCCAGTCCTTGCCCCAGGGCTCTTCCGGGTTCTTGTCCCTGCTCTGCTTCCCGCGCGCACCAATCCGGGTTCTTCTCCCTGCCCTGCTTTGCGCACGTGCCAAAAGTGCCTAGTATGCGGAAGTAGAAGTGTATAAATTGCCCCGGTTGTTTGTGCTTGGGGCTCAGACCTTTGGAGACCACTCTTCTCTGAGCCCGCCCGCGTTAAATAAACCTCCTATTCTCCAAGATCTCCGAGTGCTGCTTGGGTCTTCCATCAGGCGATCCAGTTCAGGTTCTGTAACACCTTCAAATCTGAACTCATTTAAGAAAGCAGTCAGGAAGATAAGAGTTGGTTGATATTCTACTTTTAATATGTAATATGTAGCTGCCATGTTGATTGTGTTGTTTTGGCATCTAGAAAAAAATCAGCCTACAAAATAAAATATGTTTATTTGGGAAGGAGGACCTACTCAAAAACAATACCTTTTTTGATTTTAATGAAGTCCCAAGGGGAAGGCCTCCCACAAACAAATTGAGATAGCATGTCTTTAAAGATAGTTTTATTGACCTTGACAGTGTTAGACTATGGGAGCAATTCTAGGGATCTGGATGAACTTTCCCATCAGAATTTTGATGTCTCTCATGGCGAGCCAAGCAAGTCTACTTGAGAAATTGATACTACATATAGACCCTTCTCCTGTGATATTTAGAGACACTCACACCTTTAGTAGTTGGGAATACAGGCAATTATGACTTTGTAGTCCTCTTCCTTCACACAAAAGATGTATGCACCTGTTTTGAATCATGGGCACAATGTTTAAGGGTTATGGTACAGTGTAAGCAACAGGGGATTATATTTACACTATGTAATTGAATGTTGTTTATGTTCATTGTCTTCATAAATATTACATCAATTGCTTGATAAAGATCTGGATCAGGCCAATTCTGGTGAAAAACATCCATCATCTCTTGCACCCTCCTTATTTATTATGTAAATTAAAATTTAGAGAATAAAGGCATGGCCCCCAAGCATGATAAATTACAAGAATCTGATGCAATGAGAAAATAGAAAACAGAAATTTATCCCTAGGACTCTACTAGGAAGTGTTTGAATTCTAATAAAAGAGATGTTTTGAAAACAGAATTTATCTTAAACTCACAAGAGGACAGTTTATGAAATGTGGATGGAAACCAAAAAAGAAAAAGAAAATGATAATGAGGATCTAACATTCATTTATTATCCATCCAACAATGTTTTATTCAGCTGCTATGTCAGATACCAAGTGCTGAGGATACATTGATGAACAAAAATAAATCCAGTCCTTAACCATGTGGAACTTACAGTCCAGTGGGATGGTATAATGAAAAGACAATGGACGTTGGAGTCAAGAATGTTCTGTTTCTTATCAAGCTCTACTGCAAATTAGCTGTGTGATCATGGGCAAGCCACTTCATTTCTCTGGGCCTCAGATAATTATGTTAAATAATCTCCTTAGATAATTATATTAAATAATTAAATAACCTCTAGGGTCTTCCAGTTTTCAAAGTGCCTTACCAGTATTTTATATCCTGCTATAAGGAGGTAATTTACCACCTTTTGTCAAAAATAGGATGGCCCAGGATCATCTTCATTTTCCCAAAGTAAAATTCCTCTTTGCCTTTCCAGTATGAAATCTTTGCAGCAGTACAGTGAGATCCAGTATCCTCTTGTGGGACATTCCTATTTTTCCCTACTTTGCTCAAGGAAAATGTTAGTAGCATTTTAGTGAAATCCTTGCTTCTCTCCCTGATGTAGATGCGGTTGTCACCGAAGGTGGGGAGAACTTCAGTGTTGGACAGAGACAGCTGTTCTGCCTTGCTAGGGCCTTTGTCCGCAAGAGCAGCATTCTTATCATGGACGAAGCCACGGCTTCCATTGACATGGCCACGGTGAGCGCATTATCTATACTTCTTAAATTGAAGAGCTGGGGAAATGCACATGAAAATTACAACTTAGTTTTTCCCACTTGGGTTCAAAGTCCTCACTACTGTTGTTTCAGTGCCTTCTCATTCATCTCTTTAATCAATTGATGATAGCACATTGAGAATTAAAATAAAGGAGAAATGACAGTCTACTGCCAGTAAACATAAAATAAATTGGCCATCACTTTTTTGATAAATTCTTAAAACAGTTTAATTCCAGTGCTCAGCTGACAAGAGTACTGTACTGTATTCAAGCGTTCAAGTCTTATACCATGGAAGTTATAAAATGAAGTATGCAAATCTCTATTTAATAGAAATTGCTAACCAAAATCAATCATTATTTTCTAAAGCAATTTGAAGAAGAAGGATTCACTAGAATTAATAATGCTCTTCTCAATGTGTTCATGGTAATGAGCCAGAAACTTTGTCTTTTGAGAGAAATTATTTAAAACTGTTAAATACGCCAAGAAGGATCTGTCTAGAAGGCTATGCTTGAGTGGAGAAAATGTCACATTAAGCCACAAACTATAAGCGCGAGCAATTAATGTTGTTCTTATACAAGTTAACTTGATATTAAAAGTTTGGCATCAGAAAGGACAAAAATAAAAAACATCCACAAACATGATATTTTCTTGCTGCACACTCTAGATTGAGTAAAAAATATCAAAAAAGCTGAAACAGTTTCAAGATTATTAACAGCCTATTATATATGGAGATGCTAATTTGACATCATTTTTTTCTGTTAAGACTAATCAGTTATACAAAGTTATAAATCCTTCTCAAAGTTAACATAATTTAAAGTAATAAAATAGTTTCTAATTAAGCCAGTTCACTAAATACATAAGTACATCAAAATTAGTATTAATTGCTAAGGATTTACAATATTTACAATTTACAATAAAAGTTATTATAATACAGCCTCAGTAGAGATGGGAGAGGAAGGGAGAATGGAGCATTTGGAGCGTACGGAGCCCAGCAGAAGCTTGCTGTGGGGACTGCTCCCTGTCGCACCTTCCAGAGAAGACAAGAGCTGGGAGTTCTCAGCAGGGATTGGCCCGGGGGGGGGGGGGCGGCTTTGCTCTCGGGGACAAAATAGTGTGGAGAGAAAAAGGACTCCAGAGAAAATTCAGACTTAATTTATTGATTTTTTGGCAGGAAAACATTTTGCAGAAAGTGGTAATGACGGCTTTTGCAGACCGCACCGTTGTTACAATAGCTGTAAGTATTGGAGACAGGGTTGATTTACTCCTCTTTGGTTTTTGTTCCAAGATTCAATAATCTTTATTTTGGGGCAATTCAAGTATATGTGTGTTGAATTATGTATTTCTCTGCCAATGTTTCTGTATCTGTGCAAAACAAAAAACCAAAACAACAACAACAACAAAACACAGCTATGCTTCTGAAAGCCTTTATATTGTTTTTTCCCCCCAAACTGTTCTACCTAGCTCCCCTAATTTACAGTGATGGGATATCTTAAATCTAAGGATTCCAGCAGAAATGCCTGTGTTTTTTTTTTCACCAGATACAGATGGTAGTTCGTATGGGATAATTCTCTTTTCAATAATCTAATTATCTGATGAGCAGTTTCAGAAGCAAAATTCTTCGACATGACTACCAATTCTGCTACTGCTTACACTTAATTTCTGTTCCTAATCACCTAACTGTTTAAAAAAAGAAGGCAATGAGATACATCACAGCTGAGGTAGATACTTTCTCTGAGCACCAATCCAACTGAAGAATTGCCCAAATCTTTGTAATTGTAATAGCTTAACTTACAGTAGGCCATGGTTTTCTTCTTCCTCTTTGCGGGTGGATGGATTCTTGCTCACATTTAGGCTTAATGTTTAACAAGAACTTTTTTAAATGAATCACCTGGACATTTTCCCCTTGCTGATTCTTGTCTTTCCATTTCTCTTTTCTCTCCAGCACCGCGTCTCTTCTATTTTGGATGCAGGTCTTATTTTAGTCTTCTCTGAGGGTATTTTAGTCGAGTGTGATACTGTTCCAAACTTGCTCGCCCACAAGAATGGCTTCTTTTCCACTTTGGTGATGACCAACAAGTAGACCATCATCAGCTACTCTGCCAACTGTCCCATCCTCTGGTAGTTATCTTAAGGGCATCCCTCTCAGCCAGGCAGGGCTAATGCAGTGATTAAAGGGGGTGGTGCGGTGAGAGAGCTACCTACAGAGTGTTCTCACATAAATCAGCTCAACCAGCTGATTCAGTTATGTTCAATACCGAATGAGGCACATGCATAATTTTCTAATATATATATATATATGGAAGAGATAGTATTTACAAAAACCCAAGAACCAGGTTCACCTCTGTTGTAAGGACCAATTTCACTCTTCTTTGGGGGATATATTGTAAGTGTCCTTAAAAATACTGTACGTGTTCCCTACCTGCCCTGAAGATTGCATTTTTTTAATTTACAGAATTATTTTGTTTTAACTGTTGAATACTGGGAGCTATGTATGGAGTGCTTGCTTATGCTTCCATTTTTGTGAATGATGCATGGAAAAAGAGGACCCTTTGAAGTGCAGCGTTTTTTGAAGTGGCAGGAAATCAGGGCCCACCTTCTGTACACTGGGCCTAAATAAAGAAAAAAACACTTTTCTCTCACTTTCCCAATGAACTCTGCCCTGGAGGAGGGTTAACTGATTAAGTCATTCATACTAGAGTGTGAATGATTTAATGGGTGAGAGAATTGGCTAACTTGAAAAACAGTTCTCTAATATTTTCAAGAATTTTATCACTGGAGAAGGTAGGGAGATATTTGGGGGTGGGGGAGAAAGAACGGACTGGTAAAGGGGGGAAGCAGACCCTTGCATACTCAAAAGACTAGTTTTTCCTCTCTTCTGCACGAAGCATGGTATTGTTGAGTGGCCCCATTTAGTTTACACCTGGAAGATTACTTGAGCAAAATTTGTATTTTTAACCAAAAAATTATGTTCTCTTTCTTGTCCACCTACATTCACTGAATACTTTTCCATAGACTTCTGTATCTTTCACTCATTCTTCATTTCAAGATAACTGAGGTGGAGGGGGCCGCTAGGATACCTCCCCACAGGGGCACAGAAAGCCCTGGATAGGATGAATTACTGTGGGACCAACTCCTCTTGCCAGGCTCTAAACAGACAGAGACACCAGCAACCTGTGGAAGAACCGTTGTAGAATGACTCTCAGTTCTGCTAAACAGTAACTGTTCCCTCTTCCCTGCTAAAAGTTGTTCTGTTAATTTTGTTAACTACCACTGAAAATTGTGAAAGAACTTCAAAAGATAACTTTCTCTGGCTTCTAAAAGGAAGCTTTCATGCACCAAAATAAATGCATGGCATTTATTTATGAAAGTGATTTTTATCATTCACTCTTGATTAGATTAATTCTCTAGAGCATTTTAAAAATTGCACCAATGCTCTTATAATTGACACCACACTTTCTCAGGCAAAAAGTAATTTGGATTAATGGAATAAGCACCACATATATTTCTTTCTATTGGCCAAGATTTTTTCCATGTTTTTATTTTTATTTCTTAAACATTATTTTAGTATAATATTTTATACTATTTTATAATATTTTAGTATAATAAGGCAATGTTTATAATATTCTATTTAGGGATTTAGAGGCTGGATTCTTTTTTTAGCATCGTGATATAGTTATTGAAGAATTAATCTTTTTTGGAGGGAAAATACACAGCAGATATTAAACAGTTCAGTAATCTTAAGTTGTTTTTTTTTTTTTTTTCTAAATGCATGGGTACACAAGCGACTCTGGTCTTCTCTCAAAGATAAATAAACATTATCCTGCAAATTTTGGTAATTCCTGAATACATATTATTCATTACCAACATTCAGTGAATGATATGGATGTTGGAAATAGTGGTACTTGTTCTGAGCCGGCATCTTTATTATCCTCTATATATGTCTTACTTTTCTCCTCTAGTTGTCCCAACTGTGACTGTTTGCTTTTCTGAAAGCATAAGCATTGAGACTACCCCATCTACAATGGCCCAGGGCAGATGATAGGCCTTCGGCCCTAGGGATGGCTTTAGGTTGGACTCTGGGTTGTTAGGAGAAGGGACTTTGGAAAACTGTGTATCAGATAAACAGACAATATTTCTGAGTTTGGCACTCCCATCAGCATGCTGATGTTTTGACCCACATAGTCCAGCTCCAGTATGGTAGGTAGCCCAGAACCATGTATGGCTATCGAGCACTTGAAATGTGGGTAGTCCAAATTAAGACATGCTGTAAGTGTGAAATACACACTAGATTTCAAAGACCTGGTACTAATAGAAAAATGTAAAAGATACCATTACTAATTTTTATATTGGTTATATATTGAAATATTTTGAATATGTTGGGTTAAAATATATTATTAAAATGGATTTCATGGGGCGCCTGGCTGGCTCAGTTGGTAGAGCATGTGACTCTTCATCTCAAGGTCATGAGTTCAAGCCCCACATTGGGCATGGAGCTTATGTTAAAAAAAAAATCAACTGTATTTAATATAACTTCACATAGATTTCACCTGTTTATTTGTGCCTTGAAAAAGTGGCTTTTAAGAAATTTAAAATTAGATGTGTCTCACATTTGTAGTCCACATTATATTTCTACTGCACAGCACCTATCTTACCAAGAAAAGTAAAAAAGGCCCACGGCACAGATTTTTCCCTTGTAAATTTTTAAAAATAAAAAATAATTTTAACTGACATTTAGTATCTGCTTGTATGTGTCAGACAAGGTGCTGAATTCTTTTTACATGGATTATGTCATTTGATCCTCACCACCATTCTGCAAGGCAGGTGATTATTACCATCATTTTATAGATGTGGAACTTGAGGCATACAAAAGTTGAGTTTGCCGATCAGGATTGCACAACCACACAGGTAGGGAAAGCAAAATACACACCCAGTCTAACCTCAAAGCCTGTGCTCTTTTAACCATAATGCTAACAATGGCAGGTGAGCAATCCTCGAAGGTAGCAGATACTCCTTACAAAACAATTTGATAGCAGGGTGGAAATATCTCATGCTTTGAACTTAATAAGCCTGATTTTATGCTGGTTCTGCTACTTATTATCTATGTGATCTCCTGTTTTTGCTTTATCTCTATGAGCCACAATGGTCTCGCACATAAAGCAGAGAAAGAAAACACCCACATTTGAGGAACATTTTGATGATTAACAAGTATGTGTGTAGCATACCTAATGTATAATATATGCTCAATAAGTGGTAGCTTGTTTTATTTATTTATTTTATTTATTTATTTATTATTATCAATTACTAATCCCAAAGCTTCTCTCCAAAGGGTACCAGGAGAAAAGAGAGAACAAGTTGTGGCAATAATCTCTAAAGACTAAGAGCGGGCTTGTCTGAAGTCCTGGATAACCCATTCTAATACTGCATGCCAGAATGCAATTCCCCATATTGTGTTCCCAGAATTGAACCACCTTCCAAGGCTCTTCAAATTGTGTGTTAGCCCACGAATTAGTTGACTCTACCCAAGAGATAATTTTAGTCTAGACTAAACTATAACCCAACTGGTTCACGATGGGTCTTCTTATCATTTAATTATTTGACAAACAAAATTAGCCTCCTTACACTTCCATGAAAGTGCTGAAACTACTATATTAGCTACACTCAATTTAACACAGTCCATCCAAGACCCAGTCACACTCGCCAGTATTTAAAAGTATGTAAATAATGATATGTTAAGTAAGACAGAAAAAGAGGCTGTGCTTCTATTCTAGTACCTCTAGCACCCCAAGAGAAATAATCAGTGAGATATGCATATTCCATTGCTTTGGCTCATGAAATTTGTAACCTGTACATGCATTTTTTTTTTTTCACTCGCAGCATCGGGTTCACACTATTCTGACGGCAGACCTGGTTATTGTGATGAAGCGAGGAAATATTTTAGAATATGACACTCCAGAAAGCCTCTTGGCTAGGGAAGATGGAGTTTTTGCTTCTTTTGTTCGTGCAGACATGTGAAGGGATGTCTTAAACCGATACATGGATTTAAAATAATGCAGTCATAACCTACTTAATCGATCATCAGCTTGACCTTCAAAAAGTGACATCTTAAATTTGTACACTTTTGTAAAGCATATTTGTTGTGTTGTGGGACTTTGTAATTAGTTACAGTGTCACTTTACCAATGAATATTGTATTTCCTATGTTGATATTTCTTTTTTGTTTTGTTTTCCAAGATCTTACTGCTTAATATGTTCATTACTGATGATTGTCTAATGATTAAGCCACTTTACCGTTAAGAATAGCAGGCTGTATGAAAACATGTAAGCTACTTTAAGTGGTAAGTCAACAGCTATAATTTCTCATAATTTTAAGGCTGGTAAATACCTCTCAGGCATAGAAGTCACCATTAGTATTCCTTATGGTTATACTCTTATTTGGAAGAATGTGTTTTCCGTTTTGTTGGTGTCCCCAGATGTTGTTGGAAGAGGAATAAGGGGTCAGGTTTTCTAATCAGTGAGAAAAGAAAACACTCAAAGCCATTATCTACCGGATGAAAATATTCTCTGTGTTCATTACCAGTAGTAGCAATCCTGATGCTTCCTTTAACAGTCTCTTCCTCATCTAAATTGTTTCCTGCTACCAAGAAGTCATTTATGGTAGCTTTGGAAAGCCAGAGCCTTAACCAGAAAGATCATGGGAGAAGTCTGGATATTTGAAAAATTATACTCAAGGTTCCATGTTTCCCTGTCCAGTCAGGAGAGAGTTCCTAAGGTATCAGGAATAATGTGCTTTTTCCAGACTAAAGTTCAAAGAGTAAATACATTCAGCCCTTCCATGGCAGGCCAGCTAAAACTTTCTATGGTTTAATTCACCACTAAATGTGTTATGATCCTGAGCCCTAAAATTCCACATTTTCAAGATTCAGGAGCATAGGCAAGTGGCCTTGTTGCCTATATAAATATATATATGAAACAAGTGTCTATTGGAAGAGTATACTTCTTTTTGACATTTCTGCCCAGTGGTGTCACACGTATATCCATTTGGTACGGCTCTAACTTTAATGCATGTGTAAAAAAGTGAATCAAAGTGTTATTCTAATTTTAATGTACATGTTAAGAGTGCATCAAATATGGATTGGATATTAGTGTTATGTTTTGTTTAAATATAAATTAATAAATTTTAAAATACTAAAAGTTACCTGCATTGTCATACTAAGCAGCCAAAGCTTTCTACTATAATTCTCTGCGCATCTAGTATAAACCCCATCATGGGTTTTCATATGAAGACCATGTGCTTTGTTAGATTTTGAAGAATTATGATTGATAGAAAAAGAGAATTTGTGCTCCCTCTCTGTAGCTTTTATGTTCAGTTTATTGTATTGTGTACTCACTCTTGGGAAATCTGTAATACTAGTTTATCTGGCATGTATGACTGGGCCTTCACCTAAATATAGAGTCCTGATGTTTACCTAAAATAAGTTCCATAAGGATGGACAGGTGTGTTCTGTCATTTAGCTTGAATTGTCACCCTTTGTTGTATATCTAAAACCTCATTGAGAAAAATCCTCTTAATGTTTCCTGAAAGCTAAACAAAACAGAATCAATAACTATTAAATCAATCTTGAAAATATTTTCTAAAAATTCTACCAATCTCCTCAAAGTATTTCTCGCAAGAAATGTTTGTAAGGCTGCATTTACATGGTGCTGGTTATCAACTTACTCCTTATTCTCACAGAGAAATGGGGATTTACCCGTAACAGTAACCCCTCACAATATTTATAGATATATATGTCAACAGCAGTATAGCTAATGACACTAAACTGAGAATCACATTTCTCATTCTGACACCCAGGTGGTGGCTAGTTCCGTCATAACTTTTAGTCACTTAAGTTGAGTGTTTAATAGTTTACAAAACTGAACTGACTGAATAAAGTCAGGAATGACTTTTTTAATTGTTCAATCATCTATTATGCTATATGTATGATCTATTGAATATAGAAATGACTCATCTTGAAATAATTTTTTAGTAAATAGGTACATATCTATAAAAGATGAGCCTTAACCAAATCAAATTTTACACTCCCCAAATTTAATTAACAAAATCCATTTTATAAATTTTAATTCTTTAATATTTGTTAAAAGCAATAAATGCATAAAGATTTATATGAAAAATAAGGTTACTGATATCACTTCGAGGTTTTTAAAAAATTTCTCTTGAAGGACTGTGCATCCTCTATTCTTGTGCTACTACTCATGATCCATTTAAAAGTCAGCTTAGCTCTAGATTAGATACCAGAAGACTGGTATTTGAGATCCCATAACTGATATTTGAGGTCTGGGACCATGTCTGTTTATTCTTTATGTCCTTTGCATTTAATACAAGTATCTAGCCCACAGTAGGCCCTAAAAAGTATAGTTGATTGACCCATTGATTAGTCTCACCACTAGCCATGGGCTTAAAACTCTGGGTTATTCTCTGCACTTCTTGTGTTGTGTTGATTCTACTGTGAAAATATACTGGCTTGATATTATATAATAAATTACTCTTTCTCTTTGCTTGATTAAATAGGGCTATTATTTTATCACTTATTCTTTCACTTATTGGGTATCAACTAGGATGATCAACAGATGTAAATCAACACCAATTGCTGAGATAATACCCTGCTTTGGCAATTTTGTTTCACATTTGCCACTTGTCCTGCACTTCACTAGTTTTATATATAGGTTCTATGTGGAAGTTTCCATTAAGTGAAACAGCTGTATCAATAATTTTATGACATCTCTAATTAAATAGCTGGATGTCTGGACTTTTCCCTAAGGTTTGTTGATAAATTTTTATAGTTATCTTCCAATATATCTTTTATCACTTATTTTGTATTATACTCTTTGGACTTCTGTGATTTACAGGACCATGAGAATTCCAATATTGACCCATTATCTAAAGTTAAATGCAATCTTCTCATCTTAGTGTCTTAGCATAAGAAACAATAGTCAAGAGGATGTGTCCTGTCACTTAGGTTTATCTTTTTCTTGAGTAACTACACATCATTCCCAACAGTTTTTCTCGAGCACTAGTAAGGTGCACCTGGCTCAGACTTTCCAATGAAAGGGCTTGGAGCTGTATTTCTAGCAAGTGTCTCCAGATGAGATTCATAACTAGCCAAGTTTGGGAATCACTGGTCTACCTCAGTCATCATGTAATCTCTCTTTGTTATGATAACATGGAGCCACAGAATACTGAAGGTGATTTTCACATGCTCCTGCCTCTTTCCTGACATTACCTTCTTCCAGATGGCTAAAACGGGCCTCTCAGTGTCACTGACACTCAGTGTCATCGTAAAAGAAATGTAGAGGTAAATGAACCGAATCTTACCTAGACAATATAAACTGGGGTTCTGAACGCTATTTTCTTTTGTTTTGTGGCTTAATCACCAATATGGACTCTAAGGGGAAAACGTCTTCACAAAGAAGCAAAGCCTTTCCCCCCCATATCTGAATTAGCTGTTGAATCATTTGTACATTATTCTGCTAAATTTGGAGTCATATTTCCAAATGTTTACAATCCATAAATGTGAGAACTTTGGGTAGGTTTCACTATTGATGTCTCACAATATGGAAAGAAGGTAAGTTATCTGATGATTATTCCCCTTACCACCTTCACCTTTTTTTCTACAGGTGTTGTCATCATTGCTGATATGTGAAGGTTGACATATTCTGTCTGTATATCTACTATATAAGATTTAAATTATTTCTTTTTTGGGGTGCCTGGGTGGCTCAGTTGGTTAAGCATCTGACTTCTGACTGGGGCTCAGGTAGTAATCTCTGGGTCGTGAGATCAAGCCCTGCATCGGGCTCCTCGCTCAGCGCGCTCCCCCTGCTCGTGCTCTCCCTCTCTCTCTCAAATAAATAAATAAAATCTTTTAAAAATAAATAAATAATTTCTTTTTCTATGGGTAGTAACAAATTTCTCTTCGCCATTCGCACTATGGTCACCAATGCCCTCTTTCTAAATTGACAAAGATCAAGGGAGTCATACCTGGCTAAAGAAGTTAGTAGGCTCTAAGAAGAATGCCCTCTGTGACCTTTGTGCCCCCAACCATCACAGATCATCTGCAGTTATATACTACACACTAATGACAAAGAACTTTGTCTTCTTTTTTTAATTTTTTTAAATTAACATATAATGTATTATTTGTTTCAGGGGTACAGGTCTGTGATTCATCAGTCTTACACAATTCACAGTGCTCACCATAGCACATACCCTCCCCAGTATCCATTACCTAGCACCCCCATCTCTCCCACCTCCCACCACTCCAGCAACCCTCAGTTTGTTTCCTGAGATTAAGAATCTCTTATGGTTTGTCTCCCTCTCTGGTTTTGTCTTGTAAGAACTTTGTTTTCTGAGCATTATTTTTATCACTTAATTAGCCCACTGCATAAAATAAGTAATGTGTTCATAAACAGCAACAGCACAACACTGCTTAATGCCACTTCATTCCCGTTTTTCTCTTAGAGCTACACTATGCACTATTTATACACATTATCAGTTATTGTTAAGTGAAAGACTATTGACCTTTAATATTATCAGAGTCAGGTGGATTTAGACCAGCTCTTCCATATCTAGGTATTTGCTCTTTGACCCATAGTAGTTGGGGCTTTGTTCCAACACTAGTTAAGTAAAGAGCAATTAAAAAAAATTAATCTCTTTCAGAAATCCAAAATGTTTATCAAGCCTTTGAATGTAGACATAAACAGAATTCTCAATTGTTTAAATCCCTTAATGTGTACCGTTAAGCATCCTTCACAGGTTACAACATATCCTCCAAATCCTCACCCAGTGTGCATGCCATCCCCCATGTGCACATAACTGTTCACATTTTACCTTGCTGTCTTAAAGAATAAAGCTGCATGAATCTTTTCACCACATATTAATACAATGCATAGAAAAGTCAAATACAGGTGCCCACAATGGATGGCATAAAGAGAAAGTCTTATAATCACAGTAATTTTTAAGTGTATCTTCTAGGCCTAATGCCATTTTAGGAAGACATTTAACTTCTAGATGGATCATAGAACGTGTTTCCAGTGAGAGGAGATTCAACGTTTTTTTTTCTATCATTTTTTAAGATAATCATGGCAATATATTGATGGGTTATAGTGATCAGGCTCTTTTTAGTTCAACAAAGGGATGATAATTGTTGTCATAAAGGTAGTGACCTGGGTTGGGCATCTATGAAAGAAAGATGGTTGTTTCCTTACTAAGGGATGCTACAGGAAAACAAACTTGGGTTTTTCATCTGGATTAATAATTTTATGAATATCTGCTATGTGTTCACCTTTGATTAAATCAGGTGTGATTCAGGAGATTATTTGTAAGGGTAGTACAGAACTTTCTGGTATGTTAAAAATAGTATGAAATCTTCTGAAATAACTATCTTTATTGTACTTATACGGGGAAAGAACTGAGATTAGAATTTAAATGAATCACCTCCAAATCATGAATCTGTCTCCAGAGATGGCACTTTAAGCACCAGGGAATGGGAGTGGAGAGATGGGGGTGCTGCTGAAAGGACACATCTGCCTTAAAATCTAGGGAAAGCAAAATTATCAGGTCCTAGGACAAGTGCAGGCTGGGCCAAGTCTAACAGCCTGTCTGGGGATAGCCCACTCCCTCAAATCCATCTCTCTATCTCAAGCTTCTCAGCTTCCCTCTAACGTTCTGTGCCATTCTATCCTTCCATCCACTTCTTTCTCACCTTGCATGTAGCCTTGATCAACCACTCCTATCTCAGATGAAATCATCTAGCACGGCCCACAAGTACCTCCACTTTTCAGATTGTCCTTTTCAAAGTATCAAGCAAGGAATCTATTTTGTGCAGCTCATCTTTCTATCTTATGCATGACTGGACAACTTTTCACTACTTCACTTTGGGTCAGGGATTGACCTCTGGCCTAAAAAGCTGTGGCCAGATGATATAGCCAATTGGAAGTAATATCCTCTGCTGGGGAAGACATAACACGGTCTGGAGAGTGCAATGAAAGCAAGAATACAAACCAAAATCACAACCAGTAATTTCAAAAAAAGAGTGATGCTACTGAGCTGGCTACTGATTATTTTCCTTTGAAAAATAAAAAATTAAGGGAGGGAGAACCATTCTTTCAACACATGAGCGTAGAGTGAGCTGGTTGACTAAACCCTTTGGACATTCTTTACATGGTCCCACCTTTGCTCCAGAGAGAGGGAAAGTCCGAAGTAGGATGTAATTTTCTTTTAAACAAGAAAACAAAACAAAATCTCCTGCCATAAGTAATCACCTCCAAATACTGACTTTTTAAACCCAAGTTCTATTTCCCTGTGGGAATGACTGCATAACTCACAGCCTGTGAGACACTTTCTCACAACCATGCATTCAAAACAACCAGTAACACCCACCTAGAATTACACTCTCTCACCCATTTTAGGATCCCCAATACATAGGACAATTATAAGCATACCTCAGATAGGGCACCAGTTCCTCCCAGGGACCTGTCACTCTCAGACACTTACAAGTGCCAAACACTTGGCCAA